TGGACACCCGTAATAGAGGAGTTACGAGTGCGTTGCCAACCTTTTGGGGATTAGGGAATTAGGAGCGAGCCGAGAGACGGCGAAATACAACGCTGTGGTTGTTTCACGCCGGTTTTCTGTGAGGCCGTGGTATCACTCGGGTCGAGCCGACCCATGACCCATTCGTGCCGAAACATGGCTCTCCCACACTTAAATCTTCGATAACAATTCTCTAATTGTTAAATAAAATGAGGTACTTTAAGAAAGTTTAGGTAGGTGGTACTTAATTATAAAAGATTAAAATCCAACAATTTCTTTGTGAAGTTAAAATAAAAGTACTTAAAACATATTTTTACACTGTAGTGTTCGAGGCACCAAAAAAAAAATACGCATTATAAATAACTGACATCTTTTCATTGTTACACGTCCCTTTTTTCTATCTCCCATAAAGGTCTATCCATTATTAAAAAGTGTCAAGTAAAAAGGAACTCAAGGCCAAGGACATCTTTATATGCGGGTCGTAAAATAATTTTCTTGCAGAGTGCATTATTCTAGAAACAATTGAAATTCAGCCCTATTCTTTAAATACAAAGTATCAAATTACCTACCTACGTACCTTTATGCAAAGTTAAAACGCACTAGTGTTACAGAAAAACGGACTTAAAAAGTGAAGAACAAGGCTCATTTTTATTTGCCGAAGTGACCTGGAACCGTTCTGGAACATTCTGAAACCGCATCCATTTGTTATGGGAAGTCGACTTAGTTACGTAGAGCGTTAACCGCATAAAGATAAAAGTTGGTATTGCTTATAAATATTTAGTAGAGACTTGAACATTTCATGAATGCATTTGTTGCCTTTTCATAAGACTTATTTACACAATAAAAATATACCCCATCGGATTTAAAAAGACGGGCGACAAACTAATACCTACATACCTACTGCCGGATTATATCGCTCCAGATACAGGCTGTATAATTATAAAGTTTTAGATATATCCCTACTCTAGTACATAAAACTCCAGGCTCATGTAAAAACATTATACCTTAGAACAACGATGTTTGGCAAACTTAAACCTTGTTCGAAGCAATAATGAAACCATTAGCCTAATTGGAATAAGGCCAAAAGATTTAAATTTTTCTCATAAATTGCCAGAATAATGCAAAACACGTTAGCGGTTTAAATCGAATATCCTTCTAGCTAATAGGCATATTGCCAAGTAGTAGAAATTGGCTTGATTGTAGCTAATATTATCATGTTTATGATCTTAATGTCACGTAGATGTAAGCTGTGCTGCTGAACAGGGACACGATTCAAATGTATCGACACTGGGTCTCTTGATTAATAAAGTAAAACTTAATAGATACGAAATCCTTAGAATTCTACCAGAAAAATAGCAACAGGTTTGCTTCTAGTTAACGGTAAAATAAAGTAAAATAAAGTTTTAAGAGCAAAGGCTGGACTTTTTACTCCAATACGCGACGCAGAGGAAGATTATTTTACCCTTTTCCTGATTATAAATATAACTAGCAAATTTTTGAAAATAACTCTACTATACTAATACTCTCACGTGTATGAAAAACACGTGGCAAGGGCCGATACGCACACGGAACCACGTTGGTGTTTTGGATTTCGTTTCCTTACTTCACTTTGGAAAATAGGTAATAACAATTATAAAAACACTCTTCAAAATCATAAGTCAGGCCGGCAACTTATAGATCCTTTGGCGGTGTCGATTGCTTACCACCAGGATATGCGTTCGTTTGCCGACCAGTTAAAAAGTGATAATTGGTGTTTCTGAAATTCTTTTTGTACTTCAAGTAAAACCAAAGTCGTAAGGAAATACATATACTTCGGACCTTTAAGGTCATGTATTTTAGTTTCCAGATTCTTTCCTAACTCTAAACCAGATGAAGCAAAGATCGAAAGTTATTATTTTAAAGGAAGTCTTTAAATTTCGTCTCCCTTACTGTGTATGGGCGAGAGGACGCCACTCTTACTCCCAGAAATTGCCCCTTCTTATCAAAATTAGCGTAACAGCAGGATATTAAATGAAACCATACCTAATATGGTATTCTATTGAAAAAAATGAGGATGATGATGACTCGATAAACTACAATTTCATAAGGTAATATGTATGTACACATACCTATATTATTCTTAGAAATAAATTACTATTTATTAGGTAGTGACTAAAAATAGCAAAATTGATGAAACTCCCCTGTGTATGTTGCAATAATTATAAATAATTAACACTAACATTTTATTATTGTAAAATACCTAACTATTTTAATTCTGTTTTCACACAATCTAATTCTTATTTATGAACATAAGGAGGTAATATATTAATAATTATTTTAAGGGAACATATTATTATAATTCTTTATTATGGAAAAGATTTTTATTTCTATTGAGATCCATTATAAAGTATCACTAACTATTTTACAATAGTAAGTACTTAGAATAACAGTAAAGTATTTGGATGACTTTACTGTTATTTATAATGTCTCTGAGAAACAAAGGTGATTTTATTGTTTAATATACAAAATTATGTCCCAAATACAATAACAATAATAGATATCAAGTTATATACTTTTATCTATAATTGGATATGACAAATACAATTTCCACTGGCTGCTTCCGATTTACATCACTTTCTTTATTTGATAACACTTTTATATTATCAACAATGGATATTTTTGTGTGTTATGTCAACAATAAGTTTCTCTAACTTTTTTTCTTTTTAAAAAAACAATGATGCTCCACAGTATCATTTTCTATTGTGTCGTGGGTGCGGTTACAAACATACAATTTCACATGCACATGACACCCAGACCCGGAACAACAATTTGTGGATCACACAAAGTTGTTGCACGGCAGCCAGTTGCCCAGCCATCGCACCAACCATTCAGAATAATCATAAGTTACTCAAAATTAATTAAACTTGAACTAATCCTACTTTACTTTATCACTACATAGTAAGTATTCATATGTATAGACAAAGTTGTTTTCTCTGTCCCTATATTCCTATGTATAGTTAAATCTTTAAAACTATGCAACAGATTTTAATGCAGTTTTTTTTTAATAGATAGTGTGCTTAATTCATCAAACCCCAAGTGAATGCTGGTGTTTACATACCTATTGTGTCTGTAATTACGATTATTAAAAGGTTAAATAAAAATGTTTATGTGTATAATAAGATCCATTAGATTTTGGAGAAATATAGTATCAGCATTGATCCTATGCAAAGCCAGGACAGGTTGTCAGTGGATGAATGATTTGATCACATAAAAACCAATGAGCAGATTTGAATGGAATTCAAACAAGTGTGCTCAGAAAGATTAAAGTCTGCAATAACATCTTTTTGTATTGGTACTGTAAGTAAAGCCACTGGCAGAAGCTTGTTATTTTTAAGGCTAGAGGCTGCTGTACAGGTCACTTGGTAACCAAAAGTGTGAGGAAATGCACTCATGGCCGAACAATTATACTTCATGTCATCAACTTTATTCTCAATTTAGTTAGAGACAGACCAAACTGTAGAATTTGCTGTAGTCTATCAACCGTTTATCAATGAAAATCTTCCTTTTAATCAACTACTAGCAACTCTCGCGCGGTTTCACCCTCTGCTCAGCTCCATTTAATTGTAGCGTGATGTTTTATAGCCTATAGCACTCAGGAAAATTGTAGCTATCTATCAGTGAAAGAATTTTGGCAATCCGACCAGCGGTTCCAAAGATTACACCCTACATACAAACTTACGAATTTTACCTCTTTATAATATTAGTATAAATATTACGAATAATATTGTTAAGCATCTCTAATACATGTTATATAAGGGTTAACCAGCATGAACATATCATTTGTTGTTAAGTTCGAATGGAATAGTCTATCTCTGTTTTAAAAGATAAATTAAAAATTTATTGAGAATAGATTCTTTATTTGAATTAAATAAAGTTAGGTAGATGGCCAGTAATATTTAAAACTTCTTGTCTACAGTGCATGTGCATGCACATTACACCATGTGCCTACAAAACAAGTTATAAAGTTCATTGACCTTTGATTTTCTTTAGTTTTATATTTTTGCAAACAAAAAAATAAAATGATGTGATCTTCATAATATCTGATCTATGACAATGCGAAACACTCGATTTCATCATACAATTATTATTATGTAAAATGTAGGAGTAATAATAGATTTGAGGTACAACAGTTAACTTGAAAAGGTTATATTGCTCATTTATTACGTAAAGGGATTATATAGAAAAGAAAGAAAATATAAATTTATGGCGCACATGATTGATAACAAATGTTTTCGTGTTTTACGTTCAAAGAATTTCAAGGCTAAATACTTAGGTTTTTCTCGAGAAAACTAAGTTGTGATCTACATTTTCAAGGAGAGAATTAAATACTCACCTAAATCAAAAGATTTTATGGTGGCCAAAGCCTTCCATTTGTCCTCCATTTGTTTATTTTCCATGGTGATCCTTTCTTGTCCTTCAGGTTCAGTGATTGGAATATTGTAGCCAAGACTTCAACTCCATAAAGTCGCGAAATGCCATTTTATTCACTCAAAATACATTTTGTTTTATTTCTATTTTCACAACAAAATCTGTAATTGACTAAATATTAATGAACACTAATAAAAATAACACGACAACGAATTTCACAAACACTCTCGATTACTCTACGAAATTGACTATAGACAATAGACAAGATAGAGTTTCGAGAATGTCAGAATTCAACATTCAAATGACATTTACTTGAACTTCGTAAAATTTGGATTATAAGTTTTTTATTTTTATTTGTATGATATTTTTTGATGAAAATGTACGATTTACAATATAATCAACAGATGAAACATTTATTTCACTTATTTCAGAGTTGAATTAAAAATATACTGAAAATAAGATCAAGTCTGTTATTTCTGAACTAATCTTATCTATTTTGTTTATGAGATTAATGTCAAATTTAGTCAAAGTAGTTGACAGTTGACAGAAAAACAATCGCAGTAAATCCATGTGCATTTTTTGATTTTTGTCCAAAATAAAGTTGGGGCAAAATGAATTTACTACCAAAAAGCCACAAAGAGTTTAGCGATAAAGACTATTGGAACAAATTCTTCAAAAAACGTGGAAATAAAGCGTTTGAGTGGTAGGTTAAAATGATAATTTATTATGAAAAACATCTTGTTTTTTGAATTTTATACAGTGAAACAAAGTAATTACAATTGATGACGTATATTTCAGGTATGGCGAATATCTAGAGTTATGCGGACAGCTTCATAAGTATATAAAACAAAAGGATACTATTCTAATAACAGGTTGTGGTAACTCGAGCCTTAGCGCCGATTTGTACGATGTCGGATATGAAAACATCACCAACATTGATGTCTCAGAAGTTGTAATCAAGCAAATGAACTCTATAAACTCTCACAGAACTAATATGAAGTTCCTCTGCATGGATGCCTTGAACACGACATTTTCTGATGAGGAATTCAATGTTGTATTAGATAAAGGAACCCTAGACGCTCTCATGCCTGACGACTCAGAAGAAACACAAAAAACCATAGACAAATACTTTTCAGAAATCAAAAGAGTATTGAAGCTTGGAGGTCGATTTGTGTGTATTTCATTACTTCAGAGTCATATTCTTAGTAAATTATTGGACACTTTTTGTGACAAATCGTGGATGTTTAGAGTTGTGAGATGCCATGAGGCAGAAGAGAGGAATGCAGAGAATAATGATGGACCTACTTTGCCAGTATTTGTTGTTATCGCTACAAAGTTTAAAGCTATGCCACAATTGGTGAGTTATTAAGTATATTGTATTGAAAAATTGCTATTACTAGATATCCCAGCTTCACAGGTGCTAAATAAATAATTGTCACCACCATTAATTGGATTATAATATAAACCTTCCTCTTTAATTACTCTATCTCTTAAGAAAACAGCATTAATATCTGATGTGTAGCTTTAGAGATTTAGGCATACATAAGGGTGTAGGAACTGAGGACTGATAATTAAAATGCAGATGATGGGAAGATGTGTAGACTTTAATAACCAACCTTTAGCAACCAATCAGAAACTGATTAGAAAACACAAGACAAAGAATTAAAGATAAATTATTAAATAGATTAAAGAAATACTATATATATATTAGAAGATATACTAAATTGGTAACATGGTTCAGCTTTTGCACATAATTTATCAACTAAAATATTAAACTTAAAAAAAAGTAGTAAGAGTAAAAATTTTATAATATATAAATTTGTCTTGTCTAGAGTACCTAGTGTTAAAAGTTATTAGGATAAAATATTTTTTTAATTTTATTATAAGATTTTTGCTGGTTTTTTTTGTGTTATAAATAATGTTATGGTTTTTGTTTGGTTATTGGGTGTTAGCTGTAAGTTTAATAATAAATAAATAAAACTTTTTGTTCTTTTTTTTCAGATATTAGAAGTATGTATGGCTGGTGACAAAATGCAAAGACTACAGACACCTGAAGAGTTAAAGACATATGTGAAGACTGCTCAAGACACAGCTTTTGTCACCAATGGACTTGCCAAAACTAGTTTAGACGAAGACAATGAGGTATGAAATGGAAATTAAATAGATTTCTACCACTTTTATTATCATGTTGTTAATGACAAATTTCCAACTGGCCTGTCTGGAAGTCAATGGGGGAGACCTATGTTCAGCAGTGGATGTCCAATGGCTGATATGATGATGATAAATGAGAAATTGAAAATGCAATTATTTTGGGTGTGAGAGCCTTTGGCACAAATGGCTTGGCTCTACTGGAGTGATACCACATGCTCACAGAAAACAGGCGTGAAATAATGTTCTGCCGTGTGATTGAGGTTACTAGAAGCCCAATCTTTCCCCTCTCTCAGTACTAAAATCTCCAAAACCCTTATTCCCAAAAGGTCGACAACACACTCGCAACTCCTCTGTTGCTTGCTCTGTTGATTGCTCAGCATCAGGTAACTTGTATGCTTGTTTGCCGTTCTATCACATAAACAATACAAAGGATGAAATATATGTACACACATATACATAGGAAAGCAAATCCATAATATGTTTTTTTAATAACTATCGTGAGACATACTAAATTAACTAAAAATCGAGGGTTACTCACGTGTTTATACTTAGAAAAGCTCTACTACTTTCAAACCATCGGGGTTCTTCATTATGAGCAGCGTGCACAGTCCCAAAGACATTTTGGGTTCGAAACTAGTAGAGCTTTTCTCCAGTGAGTAAACCCGCGATTTTTTTTATAGAATGTTGCCCCCACACTAGGATTTTTTCCTGTGTCGTGGGTGCGTTTACAAACATACAATTTCACATGCACATCACACCCAGACCTGGAACAACAATCTGTGGAACAACAATTTTTTTTTCAAAAAAAAAAAAAAAAGTCAAAAATCATTTATTTCAATTAGACCACAGTAGGCACTTTTGAACGTCAAGCAAGCAAAAAAGGAAAAAAAGTATATAACAAGAGCTTTAAAATTAAGCGTGTCAGTCTGTCCGTCTGTCCTCTAGTGAAGCTATTTGCTCGTTCCAAAGTGTAGATTCCTATGGAGAAGAACGAGCAAGAAACTCCATGGTTACTCTTTTTCAATCAGTTTTACAATACATTTCTTTGTTACATCATTTAGTCGGTTCTGATATGTGAGAACAATGTAACACTAATGTTCAGGCAAAAAGTACGAAAAAGAAGTGAACCTCAAGGACAACATAATTAGACAGCCTGGAGCTGACCAGTCCCCAATAGGCGGCGCCCGTTCACGAACATGACACGTACACCAGCACCGCCCAACTCAACCATATTATAGGGAATTGGGCGATCCAGTGCCCGTGCCACCGCCAATGAGACCTCTGAGTGAGCATGACAGCTCCCAGCCGACACAAGTACCTATATTCTACAAGTCTTACTTAATTATAATAGGTTACAGGGCACTCACATTTACAAAAACTTAGAAGATCATCAACAATTAACAACATAGTGTACAAATTAATAATTAAAATCAAAAATTCGTCTAAACATCCTGTGGAGTAGGACCAGCTAGCCTCCAAGCATTTTTATCTTGTATATAATCATTTACTTTGTAGTATGCTAGTTTACATAAATGTTTCTTTATACATAATTTGAATTTGCTTTCATTTAGATTTTGAATTTCAACTGGGATTTTATTATAACATTTAACACAGAAACCCAGGAATGACTTATGCACTTTTGCCAATCTAAATAAAGGCTGACTCAATCTATTCCTATGTCTAGTATGATAATCATGTTTGTCAGATACCTTTACAAATAAGTGTAGGTTTTTCCTAACATACATAATGTTTTCATAAATAAATTGACTCGGTACGGTCAGAATGTTGATCTCCTTAAACTTTTCTCTGAGAGATTCGCGACGACCTAAGTTATATATAGCTCTGACGGCACGCTTTTGCAAGATAAAGATAGACTCAACGTCAGATGCCTGTCCCCACAACAGAATTCCATACGACATGATGCTATGAAAGTAGCTAAAGTACACTAGTCTTGCCGTGCCTACATCGGTTAGCTGACGGATCTTCCAGACAGCATAAGCTGCAGAGCTCAATCGTCCTGCTAGAGACCTGATGTGGGGCCCCCATTGCAAATTCTCATCTACAGTGATCCCCAGGAAAGTAGTCTCTTTTACAAATTCTAGTTTCTGATCATTTAATAATATATCATCACATACGTTACTTTTAACATTTGGTAAAATAAATCTAATGCATTTAGTCTTTTTATCATTTAGTAATAAGTTGTTTATTGTAAACCAATTTTGAACCTTCATTAAGGCATTATTAACTTCGTCATATTTGTTTGTTCGTCTATTTATTTTAAAAATCAATGAAGTGTCATCAGCGAATAATACCATATGCGGTTCATTTTGGAACATATGGGGCAGGTCATTTACATAAACTAAAAATAGAAAAGGACCTAATATTGAGCCCTGCGGTACGCCCATAGATACGCTAGCACCCAGTGAGTTAACTTTGTTGACTTGTACTTTAATTTTTCTTTCTTGAAGGTATGATTTCAATAAATCTAGGGATACCCCCCGAATGCCGTAGTGTTCTAGCTTCAGTAACAGCGTCTCGTGCTCAACACAGTCGAATGCCTTTGAAAGGTCACAAAATATTCCGATGGCATCCTGTGCTTTTTCCCACGAGTTGAAAACTTGTTTTATAAGTGATACTCCTGCGTCCGTAGTGCAACGTCCTTTGGTGAACCCGTATTGATGGTCATGGAAAATACAATTCGTGTTAAAGTGACGCAGCATTTGCGTAAGCATCAACCTTTCGAACACTTTACTGAGCACTGGCAAAATAGAGACCGGCCTATAGTTATTAGGTTCTGTACTATCACCTGATTTAAATAATGGAACTACTTTACTATGTTTCATTAAATCCGGGAAAACCCCTTGATCTACACTTTTATTAAAAATGAAAGTTAAGTGCGGCGCAATTGTCTCTATAAACGACCTGCACACTCGAACAGACATTCCCCAAAGATCTTCAGTTGACTTCACTTTGATCTCATTGAACGCCCTTATTACTGCCTGGGGGGTTGTGTATTGAAAGCTAAAGTCAGAAGGACATTCTTTGACGTTACCCCTGAGAAGCTCGACAGAAAGTGCTGGAGATGATTTTAACGTTTCCGTAGTTTTAAGAGGAATATTTTTAAAGAATCTTTCGAATTCCTGGGCAACTGACGAATTTGAACTAGTATATCCCTTTTCGGTTTTTAAATTAAATTTTAGTGTTTTGTGATTTATTTCTACCTGTTTCTTTATTAATTATATTCCAGGTAGCTTTTATTTTGTTATCCGCGGTCCTGATTTTATTACTAATGTGGAGCGACTTAGCATGCTTACATACTATTTTAAATATTTTTGAATATTTGGAAACATGTCTGCGAAAAGCCTCGCTACTATTAAATGGTTTCAGGCCGTATAGCTCAAATAACCTGTCTCTACTTATACGAATACCTGGTGTAGCCCAGTCACAGAATACAAATTTACACTGAATATTTTTACGTTTTAAAGGAAATAGTTTATCGAATTGTATTTTTATAAGGGATAATAAATTGGCATATATCTCACTCGGGCAATTATTGTCTTGTACTTGGCTGCATAATTTATGTTTTAGCTTATTATTTAATGAATCAATTTTTTTGTATGTGATTTGTCTAAACAATATTTCCTTTTTTGGCACAGTTGTTATAGTATTAAAGTTAACTGTGAGCCCACTGTGATCAGATGGTAATCTATTTACAATTTGACTTTGTAAATAATCACAGTTACAGAAAATATTATCTATACAAGTTGCCGAGGTGGATGTTACTCGGGTGGGCTCAAGGAAAACATTAGACAAATCAAATGATTGAAATAGACTTAACAAGTTTGTACAATGAGAATTGTTTTCTAAGAGATCAACATTAAAATCGCCACATACTATTGTACATTTACTACTAGTACATGTTTTCCGCAGTACATCTTCCATTACAGAGCGAAAAATATTTAGATTCTGTATGTTAGGAGGCCTATAAACACATACTACAATATGCCTATCCAGCTCAACACAGGACAACTCTATTGTGTGTTCAATTGACAGCAGAGCAATGTCTTGTCTTTCTTTATATTTTATTGAGTTCTTTACTAAAATCAGGCTACCACCATGTATCATTGCTTGGCGGCTATAATTGCTGCCAACACAATAGTTATTGAAGTTAATTGTTTCTACTTGATAATCTTTTAACCAATGTTCAGTTAAACAAATAATATCATATTGGAATTTCTCTAAAAACAATTCAATTTCTAGGAATTTTGATGATAAGCCCTGAATATTTTGACTGTATAATGACAACAAGTTATCTAATTTAGTTTTATGTTTTAATTTAAATTGATGCTTAATAATATTGCCAGAAGAAACCTTTTCAATGAATGTGGTTTTTGAGTAATTTAATTGGTTATCTTCTGTTGTCGTGGAAGTCAGTTTAAAAGAATACTATCCGGAGTACTATCCACATTTGTCAATAAATCTGGAGCCTCCTTCGTACTATTGTATGTACAATTAATCTCTATATTGTTAGATTGTCTAATCAATATAGATTTGTCACTAAAACTACTGATTAATAAATTAATACTATTTGCTAGCAAACTAGCAATTAATAATTTACATTTCCTGGGAATATACATATAATCCCGGGTCAACTTAAAACCACTAACAAATTTGTTAGTATCAAAAAATGATAATTTGTCACTATGACAAGAGGTCAAAAAAAATATTAAATTGTTCAGATGATGAATTCTACTATTTTCACTTTGTGACAAAGTGTCAGCATATGGGAATGCACATAACATTATATTCCCTGTGTTTAGTCTTAATAAGGTGTTGATACCATCAGTTATATCCCGCTTGTTTACTCCTGTACTATCACCCATGAAAATCACTATTGGCTGATTTTGTGTGATCTGTTTTTGTGAAATTATTTTAATAATCTGGCCAAATTTTATATTATGATAACAATAATTAGTTATCCTATAGTTAAG